TAGTCCTCTCGTGACGAGGACTTTTTTGTTGTTGTAGCTTTTAATGCAAACTAAAGCCAAGCACCTCTGATACTGAATCTCGCACAATTTGTAAATAAAAATTATATTAAATAAAAATTCTCTGGAAAAAAAAAAAAAATAACTTGAATGTTTGCAGAGAAAAACTGAGAGCCTATTGGGTTTTTTGGTACAATTTGTTTTTAAATGCGAACAAATTGGATTCTATTAATTTAATGCACCAAAAAAAGCTGTGGTTGAAAATGATTTCTTCGCAGTAAAAATGACAATAGCACATGCATTTTTTTAAATGAGGGTGACCTGAACATTTGCCAATTTCTCTGGATAGCTTAGCTTTTATCTTTTCCTTGTCTGAGAATGTAGCTGATACAAAAAAAAAGTCTAATACTTACAAAGGCCTTGTTGATTTAAGAGCAAAAAAAGATATTTGGTACAAATCAAACATCTGCATTTTTCTTCTCTCAGGGGTCAGGAGTTTCTCCACGACACCTTCAGTGAACGAATAAACGTGGCCATTACAGTGTCGTTATTTCACTGCGCTTGTACAAAACGCTGCACCTGCTCCCAGAGGTTTCGAGCTTGCATAGAGTCTTAAGGGAACCTACAGAAACGAGTTGGTCGGCTGCTGTCAAACGCTGTCGAACTTGTGTTTCAGGTAGTCCTTCATGACCTTGGCAATGGGCAGCTCTTCCAGAAACTTCAGGCTCTGCAGGCCGATGCACTGCCGGATCTTTATCCTGCACAGATCCTGCAAAGTCCTGGGCTGCCCTGAAACACAACGAGTGTCAGGTTAAACCAGAGTCAATCCAATCTGACTGCATTTCTGTCTGAACACAACTATTTCAATCTAATAACAGAGAAAAAAAAAACACAAAAGATGTGTGGCTACAGTCTAAAACATATAATAGAAACTTAAAATAGAAACTTTAATTGTTTTATTAAGGGGCAACATTTGTATCCTACAACTGACTTAGAGGGGTGTTTATTATGAAGTGAAGTGACATGTGGCCAAGTATGGTGACCCATACTCGGAATTAGTGCTCTGCATTTACCCATCCAAAGTGCACACACACAGCAGTGAACACACACAAACCGTGAACACACACCCGGAGCAGTGGGCAGCCATTTATGCTGCGGCGCCCGGGGAGCAGTTGGACCTTGCTCAAGGGCACCTTGTCGTGGTATTGAAGGTGGGAGAGAGTGCTGTACATTCACTCCCCCCACCTACAATCCCTGCTGGTACGAAACTCGAACCCACAACCTTTTGGGTTATGAGTCCGACTCTCTAACCATTAGGCCACGACTTCCCCCATGTTATGTGTCTTACGTCAAATACACTGAATAAATGAACTTAATGCACTGAACTCACCAGACAGAAACGGATGCCTTAAGAGTTAAACTAAGCAGATATAAATGAAAGACTTTGAATGAAAGACTACAGGTGGTTGGATTTTCTCTTTTAGCTCCACATCTTTATAGAAATGAAAAATTCCTGCTCATTGTTGTTGTTGATTATCATTTGTGACCCAGGAGTTTCTCCACGACACCTTCAGTGAACAAATAAACGTGGCCATTAAAGTGTCGTTATTTCACTGCGCTTGTACAAAACGCTGCACCTGCTCCCAGAGGTTTCGAGTTTGCATAGAGTCTTAAGGGAACCTAAACGTTGGCTTGTTTTAAGAGGTCTCTATAGTCTCTAGTTTAAAAAAAAAAAAATCTGCTCATTGTTGTTGTTGATTATCATTTGTGACCCTGGACTACAAAATCAGTCTTAAGTGTCAATTTTTCTAAATTGAGATTTATACATCACCTGAAAGCTGAATAAATAAGCTTTCCATTGATGTATGGTTTTGTTAGGATAGGACAATATTTGGCCAAAATACAACTATTTGAATATCTGGAATCTGTGGGTGCAAAAAAATCTAAATATTGAGGAAAATCGCTTTTAAAGTTGTCCAAATGAAGTTCTTAGCAATGCATATTACTAATCAAAACTGAAGTTTTGATATATTTACAGTAGGACATTTACAAAATGTCTTCATGGAACACGATCTTTACTTAATATCCTAATGATTTTTGGCATAAAAGAAAAATCTATAATTTTGACCCATACAATGTATTTTTGGCTATTACTACAAATATATCCGTGCTACTTAAGACTGGTTTTGTGATGCAGGGTCACATATAATATCCGTATTACTGTACTGTACTTTCAATGTTTCATTATACAATTCTTTGTACTGTTGTGCTTTAGGTTTGACAAAAGTACTTCATACATGAAATGTATTATTATAGATATTGCGTAAATAACTCTATATAAATGGAATAATAAATGTAGAATATGTCACAGAGAGCCTGTTGTTTAAGGAAGGAGTAGATTAAACTACATTTGCATACTATATTGCAGACGTCTTACAGACTTCTTAGGTACAGCAGCAAAAAACAAGACGTTTAATTCAAAGGGTCAGAAAGAGACAAAAAAGGTTTTGAAAAACAAACAAAAAAAACTTTACCAACATTGTAAGTCTATATTAGGGTGGAAAAAAGTATATATGTATGCAATAATAAATGTATAAATCTGTTACTTAAGGATGGAGCATGAAAAATGACTTTCTGACAAGCACAAAAACAAACAAACAAAAAAAACTTTAGCAACATAAGAGGATGATAGGGGAATTGAAAAGCACAAAAATCTATTAATCTAATTAAAAACAAAATATAATAATTTATAAATGTGTCACAAAGAGCCCGTTATTTTAAAATGGAGCAGATAAAAACTATACAGGTTTTTTTTCAGACATTTTACAGGTAGAGCAGCAAAAAACACATTTCAACAAAAAAATGGCCATGAAAAATGAAACTTCATAAGTGGACATCAGGGGAGGGAAAAAAAGCACACACACACTTGCATTTGTGGTTTACGGGGACTCTCCATAGGCATAATGGTTTTTATACTGTACAAACTGTATTTTCTATCGCCCTACACCAACTCTACACCTAAAGCTACCCCTTACAGGAAACTACTGGCAATTTTTGAATTTCATAAAACACTGTTTTGTATGTTTTTTAAGCCTTATGTTTTACGGGGACACAGGAAGTGTCCTCATAAACCATGTTTACGTTGTAGTACCCATGTCATTATACACATTTGTGTCCTCATAAACCATATATACCAGTACACACACACACACACGCGCACACAAATGAAAAGATATCAGGAAAGTTCTGCAATGAGTTCCAGGAACCCAGTGCACAGAGTTTATCAGGTTTAATGGGTCCGTTTTCCCGTTTAGAATTAAGGCCAAAAAGTTCTATCTTGGTCTCATCAGACCAGATAATCTTATTTCTCACCATCTTGGAGTCCTTCAGGTGTTTTTTCATGTGTCTTGCACTGAGGAGAGGTTTCCGTCGGGCCACTCTGCCATAAAGCCCCGACTGGTGGAGGGCTGCAGTGATGGTTGACTTTCTACAACTTTCTCCCATCTCCTGACTGCATCTCTGGAGCTCAGCCACAGTGATCTTTGGGTTCTTCTTTACCTCTCTCACCAAGGCTCTTCTCCCCCGATAGCTCAGTTTGGCCGGACGGCCAGCTCTAGGAAGGGATCTGGTCGTCCTAAATGTCTTCCATTTAAGGATTATGGAGGCCACTGTGCTCTTAGGAACCTTAAGTGCAGCAGCATTTTTTTTGTAACCTTGGCCAGATCTGTGCCTTGCCACAATTCTGTGTCTGAGCTCTTCAGGCGGTTCCTTTGACCTCATGATTCTCATTTGTTCTGACATGCACTGTGAGCTGTAAGGTCTTATATAGACAGGTGTGTGGCTTTGCTAATCAAGTCCAATCAGTATAATCAAACACAGCTGGACTCGAATGAAGGTGTAGAACCATCTCAAGGCTGATCAGAAGAAATGGACAGCCCCTGAGTTAAATATATGAGTGTCACAGCAAAGGGTCTGAATACTTAGGACCATGTGATATTTCAGTTTTTCTTTTTTAATAAATCTGCAAAAATGTCAACAATTCTGTGTTTTTCTGTCAATATGGGGTGCTGTGTGTACATTAATGAGGAAAAAAAAAATAACTTAAATGATTTTAGCAAATGGCTGCAATATAACAAAGAGTGAAAAATGTGAGGGGGTCTGAATACTTTCCGTACCCACTGTATGTATGCAATAATAAATGTATAAATCTGTTACTTAAGGATGGAGCATGAAAAATGACTTTGACAAGCACAAAAACAAACAAACAAAAAAAACTTTAGCAACATAAGAGGATGATAGGGGAATTGAAAAGCACAAAAATCTATTAATCTAATTAAAAACAAAATATAATAATTTATAAATGTGTCACAAAGAGCCCGTTATTTTAAAATGGAGCAGATAAAAACTATATCTGCATAGACATTTTACAGGTAGAGCAGCAAAAAACACATTTCAACAAAAAAATGGCCATGAAAAATGATTGTTTCTGGCACAAAAAAAAACTTCATAAGTGGACATCAGGGGAGGGAAAAAAAGCACACACACACTTGCATTTGTGGTTTACGGGGACTCTCCATAGGCATAATGGTTTTTATACTGTACAAACTGTATTTTCTATCGCCCTACACCAACTCTACACCTAAACCTACCCCTTACAGGAAACTACTGGCAATTTTTGAATTTCATAAAACACTGTTTTGTATGTTTTTTAAGCCTTATGTTTTACGGGGACACAGGAAGTGTCCTCATAAACCATGTTTACGTTGTAGTACCCATGTCATTATACACATTTGTGTCCTCATAAACCATATATACCAGTACACACACACACACACACGCGCACACAAATGAAAAGATATCAGGAAAGTTCTGCAATGAGTTCCAGGAACCCAGTGCACAGAGTTTATCAGTTTTAATGGGTCCGTTTTCCCGTCCCAACACAGTATGGTACAGGCTGTACGCACACAAATGAAGCCAGCTGGAAAAACCACTACAAAGAGCTGGAGACGGCCATCTGCAGCCCCTGTCTTCTGTCAGTCTCCATGCCTTAGCAAAAGCTCTCCACTATAGGTGACGGCAGAGAGACAGAAATGAAATCAACATGTATTCTCACGCAGCACACCGTCACTCCCTTCAAGACATGAAGTCATGCTTTCAAAGAGTCCTCGATGTAAATACAGCCGCCGGAGTGCTTTTTTAATAAATAATCAGGGTGAAATGGGATCGGTCTGAATGAGCTGACAGCGAGTAAATGTCTGCGACAGGTGGCTTTGATATGGTGATATCAAAGTTGAAGCGAAGCGCAGGAATGTGGCCATTGTTGTGTACTTGCTCATTAGTGCTTCAGGTAACACGGTTGGCTTTCTCAGATGGCCGATTGTTCTGTGTGGGGGATAGAGATCATAATGCCGTTCACTCGGCCATTGCTCAACTTACAGATTGACAGAACGGCCGCTGCTCTCCGTGAGATTTGACATTTTTCTGGAGAAAAGAGGGAATATGAGCTCCTTTGATGATACTCCTGCTATTAACCCTTGGAGTTTTAATGCTTCATGTTTTACTTGATTGGAGCTCTTTTCTAATGTATAGCTGTAATATTAACTGGAATGAGCGTATTAGAGTGTGCACTGCTCTACGGCAAGCCAATTCATTACTGTTGTTATAAAATAAATCTATTTCAAATTAAACGACAATATTTATAATAACTAAAAAATTTATGTATATATATATATATATATATATATATATATATATACACACATTTCACAAAAAATATTTAATATTATAAT